ATATAAAAACATGGCATATATTAGTTTAAAGAGTGACTGATTGGTTCAGAGAGGTTGAATATTTTCTAACCAAAATTCTGATGAAAATTTTTATATAACTTATAGGATTAAAACACAGATGTCGATTTAATAAATACGACCAATGGTACAGTTCTGCCATTTGCATCTTACCTATGCAACCATGTGTTGTGTGGGTGTTGAGGGCGAGGATTCAGAATTAGATGTACAAATAACTACATCAAAAAAGTCATACGAAAATATTTTTTAGAATTATAAAACACTCAATCACATTTTTTTCATTAAAAATCATTAATGATAACTTTGAGTGTAAAAGGTTGTAGGACTATTGGTAAAGCATGGTTAAGCCCCTCTCACTTCTTGTGCTTAGCTTCAAGCCCACATGTAGCTGGCTCCACCTTTGTAGAAGTCGTCTCTTGCTTGTGTTTTGGATAGAATTTCTTTAAAATTTTCTAATTCCTTCTATATTCTAGTGCTTCTTGATTCCTCAGAATTCTTGTCAGCTGATAGCATTCTTATCAGCTTATCTTATGCATGTATACATGTACACACACATGCGCATGCACACATATTCAGTGAGGCAGAGCAAGGTGGTGGATGGCAGTCTGCCATCTCCATACAGTCTTTCCTGCATAACTTTATACTGGAATGTCGTAATGAAACATGCATTTGTGGACAGTACCAGAAACCAAACATCCAGACTGAGGAGTCCATTTCCAGTACTTAGACTGATTTCGATTTGGGGACACAGTTGCTATTTGGAGACTTCTTGTAACAAGCTCTTTAACTCTCATTCTCTGTCATATCCCTACATTTATAAAATATTGGAATGAAAGTAAATCTACTAAGTGAGCAACCTTACTAGAGTAACACTTTGATAATGAAGAAAATAATTTTCCTTTAATTCCAGGTGTCAGTGAATTAAAGGAAGACTTTGAAAGACTTTCTTAAGAACAATATTACAAACAGTAACTATTTTATTATCAATGGGAAGTTTTATTGTTAGGAAGTAAATATCCATTAGCCTCCAAATTTTTTTTACATTAAAAGGATTTAAATATATATTCAATTTATATAGAATGTCTTATATTTAAAATATTTATGTCTAATTATATCCCTAAGAAACAATGAATGTTTCTTTTATGAGGTAATATAGTAATTTTCTAATTTGATATTATAGCTAATATTTACCTGAGTGTTTACTATGTGCCATATAGTTAAGGGTTTTTCATGTATTGCTTATTTAATACCCACAACATCTTTAAGGTAGGAATCATTATCTCATTTTATGGGGATTTATTCTATTTCACATATCTAGTGTTTCTGATATATCTATTTTACATGGTATACTTTATATAGAATATAGAAAGGAAGTATATCTAAAATTATATAATTTAAAGTGAAATGTCAGAGGCTTTTGCTTTTCAATTATGCACTCAAAAGTGTAAATAAAAGATTTGCTATTATGGCATCTAGGCCTTTTGATATTTTCTGCTAATTTCTCCTTCTCCTAACAATAGGTCCCCAAGGATCCCATTTTCTCTGAAGTCTATTTTGGAAGTCAGTCTAAACTACCTTATAATATGTATATAAACGAATAATATAAATAATGTTCTAGCCCTCAGGTGACAGTTACCTATTTGTATCTCAGGTTTCTTTATATTTTATTATAACACTTTTCCTTAAAATAGATAGGATGTGGAATTTTATGTTTGGATTCTCTCATCATGTTATGTTGATTATAAACACTATAGATTATCTCCAAAACAAAAGGCTATTCTTGTCCAGAAACTGTCTTTTGTTTTATTTCTCATGTAATTAGGTAAGCCCCACTGAAATACATATCTCATTCCATGGTATAGTCAAAATCCCTAGGGCCGAAGCTGACATAGGATAAGTTTTCAAACACTGGACATGCTGTACACAATATCATGCTGTTCTATCATTGTTTCCTAATGTGAAAAGATATGATGTTTTAATACGGGAGGGAGCTGTATTGTGAAGGGTTAGACTTTAGGAGATTGACGTAGAGGTCATTAACTTACTCCCTCCTCCTCTTGCCTCCTCAGTTGATTCAGACTGTCATTTCCATTTCTTCTACAACTTGGCACCTTTCTTATAGAGTAAAAGAGTTGGTTTTCACTGGCATCATTTATCACATGGTTTGAATCACTTTTTAATACTGGAATTTAAAATTCTTTATTTCACAGAAGATCTGTGACTTCTTTGAATAACTTTGCAATTCATAGACACTCTTCTATACCTTTCCGTTCTGAAGGAGGTTTTCATTTTAGAAGAGTGTATATTAGTGTCATGAAACATGCATTTTGTATTTATCACTGTTCTTTAATGCTCATAAAAAGTCATATTCAGTAAGTGTTATACAAAACTGCTTTTGTCTCTCAAATAAAATACTGCTTTAAAGATTTTAAATGCTCAAGATTCTAAATCCTAATCAAAAAGTAGATTATAACTTTTTTAGTGTTACAAAGAAGTAATATGTGGTTTCTCTTAATATACTGCACTGAATATTAGAATTTAGTTATTAAAAGAAGATGGAGGAAGGAGTCAAAATAATTATGACTTTGTTCCATTCACCACATAGATATTCAGATGTATGTATTTTTTAAAAAAAGATTTTTTAAAGAAATATTATTTATTTCTTTTAGAATATCATGTATGTGAAAATCTTTATGAATTGTTTCTCCAAATTTAGGAAATGGGATAACTTTTTAAGTGTTGAACTTTTTTATCCTTAAAATGAGAGACCAATTCTATCGTGACTTACAGTGTAATAATAATCCATGAGCCTATTACTGAAAGAAAAGTAGTTCCTTTTTTTTAATTCAATAAGCATTTATGCATATTTTCACGGCTTTTATACATTTTAGGTCCTCAAACAACAAGAACATATATATACAAACCACCTATCACAGATTATCTCATTAAGATCTTAGTAGAGAATTTTAAAAAAGAACAATAATAATACTACAATGAAATTGAGTAAATACCATTTTTAGAGAACTTTCCTATATTAGAATTAGGGGAATAGCTTTGTATTAGATTTTTAATGATCTGAACCATACAACGATTTGGAAGTAGGCAAGAAAATGTCTTTTCCCATTTTATGGAGAGAGGATATGGAGGCTCAGAGATGACTTGGCATTGCCAAGTCATAATGCTAAGGTAAGTGGCAGGGTAAGGACAAAAAAATAGGACTTGTGGTTCCTGATCCATTATTTCAGTAGAGAATATGAATTAATATATAAATGGAAAGAAACTTGATGTAGGAAGAAACAGATATGATTTTATAGTTTCTGATTTTTATATGCTTTTGAAAGAGAGAAATATTTTGTGTTCATATTAAGCTATAAGCTTACTTTGAAATGGCTTAAAGTAAAATAGGTTAGGACATGTGAGATATTCCCAAACATGAAATCATCCCATACTTATTTAGTGTTGGGTGATAGAATTCACTTTTGTGTACTCTTGTCTTTTTATGCCTACAGCTATACTTTTGCTTCTTTTATCAACTTGAACAAAATACAGTTGATACTTTATTAGAGTGTTAAGATTAGGTTTCCCCAGATATCTTCATTTTTTCCTGTAAAGTATTTTACGCTAACGTATGGCTTTAACTTGTGGATTTTCATCTTTTTCACTTTTTCATTTATTCAAACAAGTGCTCACTATGGGCCACTCTCATCCCTGAAGATACAGAGGTGATTAGGCACAGTATCTGGCCCAAGGTGCCCCTCTTATAGTAAAGTTAAATATGTAAACTAATGGATTTCTGCCAAAGCAATACACGTAATAATAGAAGCAAGATAAGGGATCCACAGAGAACCAGAGTACACAGTAATACCGCCTTCGGGCTCAAAAAAGGCTTCTTGAAAGAGGTGGTGTCTGAGCTGGATTTTTGAGGGCAAATAGGAATTTATTTGGCAAAAAGGTGTGAATTTTCTTACTTTTAACTACAAGTACTAATCTGCTTCTGTTTCTCATATGTTATGTTGATACTCTTTGTTCACCAAATTATTTCATATGTGTTCAGAATTGCTCAAATATCTAGTCTCTTAAAGCTTTCCTAAATTAGACTTTTCAGATTAAATATAATTTGGAAGTTCTTCGATTGTTTACCATTGTACTAAATTGTAACTGTAGTTGAAACTTTTTTCTTGTGTATAACATAACATTATATTTGAATGTGTGAGAAGTGTTTGATTTCATTTTGCTATGATTGAAGTATTTTGAAAGAACTTTATAAAAAAGGTGTAACAGTATACTTGGATTTAAAATTCACCTTTTAGAAGAAAATCTATAAAATATGAACAGTCTGTAATATGGAGGTTTAATAATCCTGAAAATATTATACTATTTAGGCGAGAGAAAAGTTTACCAGCACTTGCTTGTGTTACTTATTTTATTATATATAGTATAATGCAAGGACATTTCTCTGTTATATGAATGAATGTGATTATGCTTTTCTTACAGTATAGAAATCATATTATTTACTTTTTAAAAATCACAGGATTATTTCAGCTCCTTTTGTTTAAAAAACATTTTTTAAGGTGGATTGAAAATTTTACTAACAGCTCATTTTGAAATATTTTTCTTATATATCCATCTGTTGTGTACCTTAAGATTGAAATTTAGGTCAAATCAGAACTAGAATTTAACTTTACAAAGAAAATAAGTGTGCCATCTTTAAAAACTGCATTCTAAATTTTAAGTACAATAGATCAAAGTACATCTTATTTAAATAAATAGTCTGGAAAAGAAGTCTCAATTATTTTCCCCCAAACTTTCTTAAAATAGTCACTGTTCTCAATATAAGATATGAGGTTTAGCTTTATTATTTTAAAGGAAGATGAAAAGTTGTTTATTTAAAAATTTTAATGATTTTGCTTTCAAATTGTGGAAATTCTCCTTTGGGAACAGCTTTATTTGAATTGCATGTGACATTATTCTTATTTCTTTAGGCAATGATTAAAAGTTTCATGGATGTCTACCAGCTTGCAAGCACTAGAATTGCTACTTTAGAGAAGGAAATGACATCTCATCGAAGTCACATTGCAACCTTGAAATCAGAACTTCACACAGCTTGTTTACGTGAAAATGAAAGTTTACAATCAGTAAGTCCTACAATATTTGTTTCTTCTTTGGATCCAGGGTCACATTTACATTTATGTATTTATTGCTCTTAAGATAACTTGCCAGTACATACAATTTGAGGTAAATGATCAATCAAGCAATATAAAATTATTAGTGTGGAGAAAATTTCGAAAGAAAGAAAGCAATTAATTTTCTACTGTATCACGTATAAAGATATGCATATTGTTATCAATGCTGAAACACTACATCAAGATCCCTTTGTGTTTGGCAGTGCAGCTGACAGTTGGGTTTGTCAGTATGCTTAGTTAAAGCTTGCAACTGTCTGAAGATTCAGTGTGTCCCATTAAGACAGAATATTATTAATTATGCGTATAACCAAAATGGTAATTAGAACATGTGATTATTCTCTGTAGAAAGCTAGACTTATCTATAATACATGCCTAGCTAAAATTCATGTTGTGATTCATCTATATGATTAAAATTCAGTTTCAGCAGTCATTTCATTTCTTAAAATTTTAGCCCATGATGAAATTTGGGCTCATTTAAGTCTAAACAAAATTTTCTGCATTTGAAATATGTATTCAGGGAGTATCAAAAAACGAATATATTTGTGACATAAGAGAATAAAATAAACCTTTAAATTTTTTCTCAAAAGGCAGATATATCAACAGCGATACTCAGAGGGTTACCAATAATTGGAATGTCATTTTTGCTTTTTTGGTTTAATTACAATATATCAGGGTAACCTGTAAGGAACAGTATCATTTTGCCATTCAGCTATTGACCCATTTCAAATGATATGTTCAACAAAAAAAGAGTTAGCATTAAAGCAAATAGATGTACAGCTATGTTTTGCTTCTTCAACTCCTTCAGGTCTTAGCTCAAGTGTCAGCATTCCAATGAAGCCTTAATAACCATGGTATTTAAAATTGCAACCATTAATCCCTTCTTCCCTCCAAAGTCTCACTCTTGCCGTGGAGTGCCTATTTCGCTCCCACCTTCCTTGATTTTTTTTCACGGTAGCACTTATCATCAATTGATATGTGGTGTATTTTATTTGCTTATTGTCTGTTTGCTCCCAACTCTCAGTACAAACTTAGTTTCATAAAGACAAGCAATTTTGGGTGTTTTCTTCACTGCCGTGAAGGTGTGCCGAGAATAGTGTGGCATATAATAGGTATTCAATAAATGTTTACTGAATGAAAAATATGGGTAATTTATCCAATAAATGTACAAACCAGCTGATATTTGGGACCTGAGATGTGAGTTCAGTTTTTAAAATATAAATTTCTTAATGAGAGAGTAGTAAATTTGACCTCCACCAAGAGAAATGAAAATAAAGAGGAAACTTAAAAATTTTTGGATAAGTATTTGGAAGTTATTCTAGCCTTTCTTTGAAACATACTCACATTTCTTCCTGCTAACTCTTTGATCCCACTGGTTAGTATTATATTATATTGTTTAGGTTGTGTCAGCTTGTCGTTACCACTAAAACCTTTTCAGGGTTAATAATGCTTGAGCTAATAATATTTGAAGCTTAGATGGGAGTTATCCAGGGGTAGAAGAGAGTAGTTTTTCAGATCAGGAAGAGGGGAGTAGGGGCATCTACAAAGGCTCTGTAATGAAAGAAGAAATTGAGAAAGACCAGTGTGGCTGGAATAAAGAGGACGACAGGCAAGAGTGTCTGAAATAAGGATGGTCTGGAAAGAAGGACAGAGGTTAGACTTTGTTGTCTTTGTTTTAAGTCATCGTAAAACTTTAAAGAAGGAGTGACATGCTCAGATTTGCCTTTTTTAAAAGAGATCACTTTGGCTGTGACGTGAAGAAACAGTTGGATGGGAAGAACAAGAGCAAGTATGTCAGATAATTCCTGCAATTTTTGCTTTGGAACTAGATCAATCGTCTCATTTACTGAGAGAGAAACAATGGAACAGGAGGAAATATTGTGAGTTTAGTTTTGAGTATGTTGAGTTTGAGATATCTTTGAGACATCAAACTGGGGATGTCAAAAAGACTGCTTGATATAGAATTTAAGCAAGATGCAACGGTGGATATAAGAATTTGAAGTCATTTTCATATAGATGGGACTCGAAGCTGTAAGCAAGAATGAAATGATGTAGGGACAGTTTATAAGGCAAGAAGAGTAAAAGGCCTAAGAATGAAGCTTGAAAAACTCCAACATATAATGCTTGAGTAGAAGAGGTTAGGTTGCAAAGGACGCTATGAAGGAACAGGCAAAGAGGTAAGAGGAAAACCAAGAAAATATGATGCCATGAGAATATAGTTCAAGAAGGGTGACATGACAGTATTGTCATATGGCGCTGAAGATCAAGTGAAAAGAGGATTGAAAGTGGCCTTTGGGTTTCATACATGGACGCCCTTGTTAACTTGGCAAAGGCTCTTTTAATAAGAGGTAGATATGTAAGTGGAAATTGAGCCTCCTGTCCCTCCAGAAAAACGGAATTTAACCAAATACCACTTTTGCACTCTAGCTTTCTTTTGACTAGTGTTCGCATGACTTATTTTTTTGCATTCATTTCTTTTAACCTATATTTTAAACTTACGATGGATCTCTTGTAGGAAGGTATAGTTTTGTTTTTGTTTTGTCTATTCATTTGACAATCTCTGGCTCTTAATTGAGTGATTAGACCATTTACATTTAATATAATTATTGACATTTTTGGATTTTTGTCTATAATTTTATTTGTTCTGTGGGGATGAAGATGATGAGACATGATCTCTGCCGTTGTAGTCACATAAGCAAGTCATAAAAATAGGCATGTTTAAAGTCTATGGGAGCATAGTTGAGAGAGGAGTTCATTCTGCATAACACTGTCAAAAGAAAGTACTGAGAAGATGAAGTGTTTGGGAGTTTTTGAAAAATGTATAGCAATTTGACACTTTATTAAGAGGCAGAGCAATCAAAACATGTTTTATTTTATTTTGAGGAATAGGCCTAAGGATAGTACATATGTTTAGTGAATTAAATTATATAATGAGGGTTTTTTGTTTTTTTTTTTTGTATAATAGAAACTGTATTATTACCCTAGTTCCATTTCTTCTCTCAGTTAAAGACATCTAACTCACTCAAACAGCCTGTATCCACCGGATCCCAGCACTGCTTGCAACAGTCACTCCAAATCCCATTTTCCTATATTCCCAACCCATTCTTGTACTAACAAGTCCCTATTTTTTATTCTGTAATCTGATTTGATTCTGCTCCTGACTCTTGCTCTCGATGTTCTGGTTTAGTCTCTCTAGTATTTGTTATAGTGGCAATTTTCAAAACTCTTTTAATGGGCCCTCAGATGAACTAAGCTCTCTCCTCCAATACCCACCCCATTTACCGTTGCCTCCTAACCCTCATATAATGCTTAGAGCGAGGCAGGCCTGGGCGTGCTTTCTAGCACTGTTACTTATGATTCATACAACACTCTAAGCATCAGTGCTTATAGTTGGAATGTGTGGTTGAAATTGACTGCATTGTAGGGTTGTTATGAGGACTAAACAAAGACACAGTGTCTGCCCTATTAGTAGGAACTCCATAAACATTAGTTCTCTTCCCTACATTTTTTTTATGTATTTCCTACAACTAAGCTAAGCATATAGCTTTAAGAAATATATGTGACTATGAGGAAATCTTTTTATGAATAGGCAAAAGAGCTGAAACAACCCTTAAATCAGTGCTTTTAGCAAGTACTAAATACAGTATCAATGTTAGTTGTTATTATCACTTATTGAATGAACTGAGGACACTCAGTATATGCTATGCTCATTACTGTCTTTTCCAGCCATTTCACTGGATAAGAATAAAAAATATTCATTGTTAATCAAAAAATTAATACATCATAATGTTGTAATGCATAGAAAGAGATAGATCATATTGTAGACATGAATAGTCATCTTTGAAAACTTTATCCCTCTTTAGGTGACATTTTCATTTTTTGTTCAGTAACATAATAATAATGCTAGAGTTTAAGAGTTCTCATCAATTGTATACGTGCCAGTACTTTAACATTTTCAGTATGTTGGTCTTTGACCCATTAACTTAGGGCTGCTCTAGAGCTTTTATTTTGAGTAATAGTAACCAGGAAGGGCTTTGAGTAAAGAGTTTTTGAGTCCCACGCAGCCCAGTAGAGAACAGTCCTGCAGTCAGAACCAATTACTTGTGGGTGTTTGGATTCCAGCACATCCACAGCTGTGGAGAAACATATGATATTTCAATCTGTGAAACACAGAATGCCAAACCCAAATACTTTGCTGTGAGTTATGATCTTGCAAGCTGCGGTATTGATTTGCCTCATTTCCACTGTATGTTTAAGCGATATGTTTTTAATTCTATTGTACTTTATTTATGAGAAAGTAATAAATTACAAATCAGAGGAGAATTTCAGTTAGTATCTTTGCAAGGGAGAGCTATCTTTGCATCATTGTTCAGATTTTGTCAGATTTGGTAGTTGTCAAGTGGTATTGTTAATAAAGGTGAAAGTGTTAGATATTTTGGATTGGTTTAGATAAAAATAAAAAATAAGATTCCTCTTTCTCTTAAGATCTCAAATAATATTTTGTCATTTATTTTTATTACATTTTCTTGAGAGAAGAAAGATTGCTAGTATTAGTGTTGTGTGGATAAAGAAACTGAGAATTTCAGTAACTTATTTTAGGTAACTTGCTTTTATAAACTTTCAAATACTTTATTTCAGTTGATTCTTGATGTTTATTATTGAGGTTTTTAGCTCTTCAAGAAAAATATTTCTTTTAAATGAGTGGTAAGCCATGACTTAATTTGTTGAGAGAGGCTGTACAGTGAAGTTCAGTGGCATACAGTACAGATTATCAAGTATCGCTCCTAGGTTTTTAATTAGAACTCAATTAGATTAAAACCCAAGGCCTCCGATTCCTTGTCAGGTGCTTTCCTCTGAGATTGCAATGTGTATTAAGACAAATGTCTATCATCGTGGCACTTCAAGTGTAGTGATAATACAATTATTATACGAATAATTAAAATAATGATGTTCAA